GAAAATTTTTAACCTATTTTAACTTTTAATAAGTTGAATTTCTAACCTATATGAGCGGGGAACCTGCATGCCTTGATATATTTAGGTGAGATTCCCTAACTACCACGTCATTGCTCAAAGACTGGTACAGAAACTAATTGAGTGAGATATTCAGTGAGTTATGCTTTCATGTTCTTTATGTTGACTGCTTTTCATGTATTTTTCAGGATATGATGATGAGAAGTTGCTGCTTATGTCTCAGAAGGGCTTAGAAAAGCGGTTTGGTCAATCGCCAGTGTTTATTGCTGCCACCTTCATGGAGCAGGGAGGGATTCCACCAACAACCAATCCTGCAACTCTTCTAAAAGAAGCAATCCATGTTATTAGTTGTGGATATGAGGACAAGACTGAATGGGGGAAAGAGGTAGTAATGATACAAATGTGGCATCTAAAGCATGCACTTGGCCGCTTTAGTGATTGTATTTTGCAACTTAAAAATCAAATTGATTGAGCTTTTTTCTTTACAATCAGATTGGATGGATCTATGGTTCTGTGACTGAAGATATTTTGACTGGGTTCAAGATGCATGCGCGAGGATGGATTTCAATCTATTGCATGCCTCCCCGTCCAGCATTTAAGGGGTCTGCTCCCATCAATCTTTCTGATCGTTTGAACCAGGTCCTTCGATGGGCCTTAGGATCCATTGAAATTCTTCTGAGCAGGCATTGCCCAATATGGTATGGCTACAATGGAAGGCTGAAGGTCTTGGAGAGGCTTGCATACATTAACACCATTGTCTATCCGCTCACCTCTATTCCGCTGCTTGCTTACTGCATACTTCCTGCTATCTGTCTTCTTACTGGAAGGTTTATCATTCCTCAGGTAACTGAGAAATTACATTTTGGTTGGTTAAAATGTATTCTGGTGCATCTTTAAAGCATCAGCTGAAAATGAGAGATATTTCATTTTCTCTGTTAACATGTGGATGCACTAGAATAATAGATAATTTAGCCCGAGGCATGTAGTTCAGGATCAAACTGACAAAGCGCATGTGGTTATCGTCTGGTCCCCCTATTCCAACTATGTGACTAAAAAAACTGCAATTCCATTAAACTGCAAATGCTGGGGAGGATAAGATGAGTGGTGAATGTAACTTTCTCTTCTTTTTCCTTCCTGTGATAGTATTGGAATATTCTGGATGTATGTAACCATTTTTGGATCTGTCTGATTTTTCTTTTTTACAATTATTATTTGTGACTCTTTTTATTTTGTTTCCTTGTTGGTCATCTCTGGTGACGCTAGTTTCCTTTTGCTTTGACATGCTTTTCATGTCTTGAAAAATCAAACTTATCTTGTTTATTCATCCGCCATTCTCTTTCTTGAATGAGATCATGGGCATGCTCCTCCTTATTGGGCAATTGGATACCATGGGTTTACTTCTCCCTACTAAATCCATTACAATTTTTCTGCAGATAAGCAACTTTGCTAGTATGTGGTTCATTCTTCTGTTCATCTCTATTTTTGCTACTGGCATACTGGAGCTTAGGTGGAGTGGTGTGGGTATCGAAGACTGGTGGAGAAATGAACAGTTTTGGGTCATTGGTGGTACATCAGCTCATCTCTTTGCCGTCTTCCAAGGTCTGTTGAAAGTGCTTGCTGGGATCGATACCAACTTCACTGTCACTTCAAAGGCATCTGATGAGGATGGAGACTTTGCAGAGCTTTATGTGTTCAAGTGGACATCTCTTCTCATCCCTCCAACCACAGTTCTAATTGTGAACATGGTAGGTATAGTGGCCGGTGTTTCATATGCCATAAACAGTGGATATCAGTCCTGGGGTCCTCTGTTTGGCAAGTTGTTCTTCGCCCTTTGGGTCGTTGTCCATTTGTATCCCTTCCTCAAAGGTTTGTTGGGTCGGCAAAATCGTACCCCAACCATTGTCATTGTCTGGTCCATTCTCCTTGCTTCTATATTCTCCCTGTTATGGGTGCGGATTGATCCCTTTACCTCAGACACCATGAAATCTGCTTCGAGTGGTCAATGTGGCATCAATTGCTAGATCTTCTTTAACATCATGATGAGGTCCGCTTCACCTCTCCTGCTGATGCTTGTCCTTGCTTAGATAGACAAGAAATTAAGGTTTCAAAATCACCACCCAGATTTAAGTTATGTTGTATACTATGTTCCTTGAGTGATGGGGAGAGTACTGGAAGAAGACAGTACTGAAAAAAAATCACCACCCAGGTTTAAGAAGTGTTGCTTTTGTTCCTTCATTTTGTTTGTATATTTGTCGTTGTGACTCATGCATATATGTTTGAGTTAAAACAGAATAGGTATCGTGAACTATAGCTTAATTTTATTGTTATTGTGCAGTATTGTGATGCTTTACTGTCAAGGAGTTGTATGAACTATTTATGAAAGCTTTATATTTCAGAAATGATAAAAATAAATTATTACTTTGATCCACACAATTTTTGAGTGAACTAATACACACACACACACATACTAATACACTAAATTAGACACGTGCACACACAATAATATATTAAAACACATACTGACACACATGTACTAATACACCAAAAATAAACACGCGTATATATACTAACCAAAATATAAATTCATACTAATACAACAACAATTATTCATACACTAATACATCAAAAGATTCAAAACACACATACTAATGCACTAAAAGAATAGAACACCAATACATAAAAAAAACACACGCAAGCAAACTAATACACTAAAACAAACTCGCACACTAATGCAAAAGATACATGCACACTCAATAAGACACCAAACATGTGCACACACATTAATACACAAAAAACACACTCTAATCATTGTTGAAAAATAGAGTTTATTACATTTTACGAAATGGATCACTAATCAAATGCTCATGTCAAAAGGAATGTGAAGTACCCACGTATTGCATAGCTAGGTTCCTAGTATATATGTCTTTTGGTGTATTAGTATGTGCGTGTATGTCTTTTGATATATTAGCACGTGTGTATGTTGATGTGTTAGTTCAAATGTGTGAATATTTGGTGTATTGGTATGTATGCATGTGTTTTAGAATATTAGTGTGTTTTTGTGTATTAGTGTGTGTGTGTGTGTGTATTTTGGTATATTATTTTGTGTGTTTGGTGTATTAATGTGTGAGTGTAAGGGGTGTGTGTGTATGTTTTGGTATGTATTAGTGTGTGTGTGCACTTGCGTATGTTTTAATATATTAGTGTGTCTTTCACAAAATATTTTTTCAAAGATGCTTATCAAACATGCCTTTTGTTTTTAAGCGAAAAACACATTTATTTTTCTATTTTATAAAATACTTTGAAAATAAATTACCAACGGAGGCTAAATGTTTTCGAATTTTGCTTCTTGTTGTTAATCCTTCTTTAATTTCTTTTTTAGAGCCCGGACCACATTAGGAAGCTAAGTAATAATACTTTAGGACCTAAAAACAATGCCCATGTTTATAGAGAAAATAATTAAAATTGAAAAATACTTTGTTTAATTTAAGATAATTACTAGTATAAAGACATAATTTTATCCATTTTATTTTTTGCTTCTTTCTCCCCGCAATGTGGAAATAAGGGACAGATTCGGCCCCTCAACGAGGATATTTAATAAGTTGTCCCTAATTTCAATTTCTTTAATATTAATGCCAATTTTTTAATGCTATAAAATCTATCAAAATTAATTTTAGCACCACACATTAGACTATCATGATTTTCAATCAAACTGAGAAGTAAAATTCAAGTTTGTCCATTTACATTTAAGAAGTTCTAATAAATCACTCAAACAATCAACACTTTTGACTTAATTTCAATGTAGAATCACTCAAGTATAGATAAATGCCAACTAGGTTTTATGAATTCCTCAATTATTTCCTATAAAAATTCACATAATTCCACATTATAACTGAATTAATACTCAATTTCACCAAATAATTCAAAAACCAACCCAACAATGTAAAAAAAGAGATAAAAAGAGTATAATGTGGAATTATGACACCTATCTAGTATGAGTCAGTTGTATGTGATTAGACACTGTGATCTATATGTGACACTGTGATCACAATGTCATGCATTACACTTCCACTATCACGATGACTTGAACTTGTGACTACCTAAGTTTCTTAGAGTATTCACCCACAACACTTTTTCCCTTTAAACAAAATTCTATATGAGGCCACATTGTAGTTTTTTTAATAGTGGGAATCAATTTCTTTTTACGAAAGTCCTCGTTGAGAGTTGTTCTGCAGTAATCTCTAACTTGATCTTTGAATCGTAAGTCTCAACTCATTCCTAGCTTACCTTGCTTTCAAGTTGACCTTTTTACTTGACTAAATAGTATTTCACTCGAGCAATGGGTGTGTGGGCTAGCCCATGGTATGATCAACTATGATATACTCAACTTATTCTTTAGTAGGTTCATCTACAACATCTAATGGTATTTCCTCTCTAAATTTGTTTGATCTAATCAAAGACAACTGACTCATGCACAACAGAGACACAAGCAAAACATAAATTAAACCAACAATTGGGCCTGGGCCAAGAGATCCTAGATCGGAGAATTCAAAACTTTTAAATTTACTAACAACTAATCTGTTTTTTTTTATCACATGCACAAATAACATCATCTTCGAGGTTCAATCTCAAAATCTTAAATTTAATAATGCTTAGTTTTTAACCTCATCTAGACGAGTTTCAAACTCGTGACCATTCAGTTGAGAGGTGAGAGTTGGGCCATCCAAGCTTATACGAGAGTGTAAGAGTATACACCATTGGGGTGAGAATTGGGCCATCCAAGCCTATACGAGAGTATAAGAGTATACACCATTGGGGACATAGAAACAGTGAGAATTCTGAAGGCCCAATATGTTATAGCCCAAAGCACTAGTAGGCCAGAACATCGAATACGTCGTCGTTCTCAATAAACACCATGCCCCGTTCGAAGAACCCTTCGAAAATAGGATTTGTCCATAAGCCCTTTCTTTGTCCAAAACCCTTTGAGCAACTACAGCAATCTATAAGCCCCTTTGTCCAAAACCCTCTACAGAGAGAGAGAGAGAGAGAGAGAGAGAGAGAGGGGTTTGGATTAGGGTTTTGAGTTTGGGTGGTATAGAGATAAACAAAGAATGGAAGGGATAGCAGAGGGAGTGAACAACATGAGCGTCTCTGCTGAATCTCAGAAGAGGAACCGTATTCAGGTCTCCAACACCAAGAAATCCCTCTTCTTCTATGTCAACCTCGCCAAGGTATTTCCCTCTGTCTTTCTCTTTTCCTTATATATATATGTGTGCCTGCGCGTACATGTGCTATGTAGCTGCTAGTATGTAGTGTGAATACATGAAATCTCCTGTTTGAGGCCTATTATTGGTGGCTGTTGACCTATTATTCCTTGTGTTTGTGTTCGTGTTTGTGTTTTACGGTTATTTTATGGGTTGATGATTGTACTTGCAGAGGTACTTGGGTTTTGACCTATTATTGCTTGTGTTTGCGTTTGTGTTTTATGGTTATTTGATGGGTTGATGATCGTTCTTGCAGAGGTACTTGCAGCAGTACAATGAGGTGGAACTCTCAGCACTCGGAATGGGTATTAGTTTTTGGTCTCATTTTCTTTTATTTTACATTCTGCAGAAGTTTGTGTAGCCTATTATTGGACGTGAATATGCTTCTTTTAGTGTTGTTAGTTTTTTGCTTGTCACGGGAAAGAAATTGTGTGTGTTTCTATAATTGGAGATTCGTCAGCTTACAAGTTGGCATATCATATGCAAGTGTTGATGAGATCACACATTACTGGCTGTTTACTATCAAATGTTAAATTAACTCTTCAAAGTATCTTGTATGACATGGAAGCAGAATGATCACCTGCTAAGAAGCATGATCTGTGTTAACTGTTCAGAAAAGTACACCTGTGTATGGTAATAATTCACCCAAACTTTTGTGAAACACAGATGAAACCATCAGGCCAGAAATCTGTGTTTTGGCTCTGATATCAAATACTTTTTTAACATCTATTCGTTTTTTGCTGACAAGAGTTAACAAGATTTGCTAATGATTTGTTCGGCATCTGTATTGGTTGGATAGGAACTCCAAAATTTATGAGTAGAATTTTACATTTGGTTCTCCATACATAGAAGCTCAAAATGGTGGTGTTCATATTTTTGGCAGTTTAATGATCCAAAAGAGATTGAGATAGTGAACAAGGATATGCTTGCTTGCGGTTTACAGGAGAAAATATGACGAGCAGAATGGAAGAATAAAAATTCTAACAGAAGGATTTTCATTCTAAAAAATAAGGTGAATCTTTCACAGGATCCCTTTAATAATACATTAAAACATGTTTCAATACTTTGTTATGCCTATTGGTATTGTTTACCATCTTCTCTTTAGAGCTTGCCTATAAATAACTTACAAGATACTGGTCAATGGCTGCAGTTTTGTTTTGTCTCTGTTGTATTCTCTGTATCAGTGAACTTAAATGAGGATAGTGCTGCATTCTCACCTATGTTATTACTGAAATTCGTTTTATTATTTTCCTTGTACTGGTTTTTTGAAGTATTAACAACTTATGTTATTTAATTTCTACAGCTATTGCCACAGTGGTCACCATTGCTGAAATTCTGAAGAACAACGGATTCGCTGTTGAGAAGAGTGAGATTCTTTGTCTGCCCCTGCCCCACTGTCCTTTCCCCTATCGCCTTCCGCTCTCTCTCTCTCTCTCTCTCTCTCTCTCTCTCTGTGTGTGTATACACGGCACACACACAGAGACACATACATTGTAGCTTTGTCAGGATCTTTAAAATGAAGTTTCTGTTTTTTTCTGTATACAGAGATCAGAACACTGACTATAGACATGAGGGATGAACCAGGAGCACGACCAGTCCCCAAAGCAAAGGTAATTTCTGAGTGCATCATACAAACTCATATGATTTAAAGGGTGCCCCTAGATACAATGTTTGCTCTATGCACAAAATAGGCCTTCACATGGTGGGCTATGCTAAGTCTCATTCTATTTCAGTTGACATAGCTTTTAGTATTTTTGTTTTAATATTTGAATCTCAATCTCCATGTCAATTCAGAAGCATGGCACACATCCCTGAGTTATAAGGAAGCATTATCTAGTGGGTCCTGCATTCAGAGGCTTAGTTTCTTAAAGAAAATGGGATGATTAGCCAGATTGTTATTTTTTTACCTGCAGTAGAATTTCGCGACAGTTGTGGAAGGGTATGCACATGGAATGGTTACCCTAACTTTCTTCAACTCTTGATTTTTGTTAGACGCACTCTTCCAGACCTGGTTCAACAATGCGCCCTATTGTTTTGAAGGAGCATGTCACATGATAGGGTTTTGAGGTCTTGGGTCCTAGCTTCTTTTTTTATCAAATAATATGTTAACTCTATTCAATTATTCATTTTCCTCTATAGCTCTAAAAAAAAGGAATGATGCTTCTGGATTATCCCAATTATTTTTTGATAGGCCTCCCTGATGGGATTCTAGCAGGTGGCTGCTTCTTTGTGCTTTGCTTTTGCGTGTGTAGTTCGTCTAATTTCTCATTCATGATCTATATTAAGGAACACGTGGTTCCTGTTTAATTCAGGTGCTCAACCTGGATTGAAAGTTGTTCTATTCGTTGGGTTGGGTCTGCTCTAGCCTATCAGCTCTGGTTTTAGTCTGAGTTTCAAGTTTAGTTTCCCTGTCAGTAAGTTGATGGGCTTACGGTCAATCTACACACACACCCCGCCCCCCCTCTTTTTTTTTTTTTCTTTGTTTCCTTTCTTCTTTGGGACAAGCTGCAAACTTCATTCCAGAGCTTGAGTGTTGGCATTTCATGTCAGTTTTTTGAATTGTGCTTGCAGATTGAAATATTGCTGGGAAAAACAGAGAACTTTGACGAATTGATGGCTGCTGAGGCAGCGGAAAGAGAGTTTGGAAATGGTGAGGAGCAGAATTAGCCAAATAAACCTGTAGTCTGGTCTATTGAATTCTCATCTGTCCATCGTTCTTCATTATGGGTAAGCAATCCCACATGCACGTTGAGGAACGGACGAAGGAAAAATAAATAATAAGGGTACATTAATGGTATTTTTGGTATCAGGAATTTCAGTGTACATCAACACTCCTTGTTATTCAGTTTTGATTTTTTTTCTCTCGTCTTTATGTTTGCTTAGCCTAGTTTATACTGGAAATTTACATTCGCATAGCATTCAGTCCTTTGGTAAATTTTGGAAATTGTTTGCCATGACATGGCAAGGAGGATTGACCTCGATTTCCAAAACATCTGGTGAATTTTAAGTGGGCAGTGATCTCCCCAGCCCCCCCCCTCCCCCTCCCCCCCAAAAAAAAAACCCCACAAAACCAAGAAAAACCGACCTATATGTGAGGAGGATGTAAGATCAACTCACCCTCACTCCCACTTGGGGTGAGTTATTAGTTTGTGTTTATCCTGGATGTTAACTTTTATTTTAGGACAAAATTCAGTTTATCCTCTTGTGGTTTGGGTATTTTGCACATAACCCTCCTATGATTTGAAAATCAGCACATTACTCTCTTATACTTTTGGACCGATATGCACAATTAACACCGTAAACAAAAGTCGTAAAATGACTTTAGTACCTTCAACTATTCATCATCTTCTTTCTTTCTCTCAACTCTAGCCTAATTTTTTGAAAAATCAACCAATCATTCAATCACCTAACTGTATAAGTTTTTCTCTCTCTCTATAAAGTATCAAATTTTCTTAAATCAATGTCAATATCCTCCACTTTCAACTTAGTTTTAAACCCCACGGAATTATTTCTTTAAATAGCCCACATGACCCACGAATTTAAGCTCAAAGATGATTACAAACTTATTTTGACAAGTTATGTATATATCAAATTTTTTTTAACATTTGGGTCAACTTTGACCCTTAGTTTCTCCCTCGTTTCTTAACCTTTTTGGGTGATTTAAATGCCTAAATTTAACGTCTTTCTACCCTCTTTCCAACCATGTATTTAGTTTGTCCAAATCATGTACAAGGTAAGTGAAAATCGAACTCCAAAGTGACAGGTTCATCATTTTCAAAAATTGTTACGATTTTTAATTTAATTTTTCACCCACCAAACCTTTTTTTCTCAATTCTAACTTCAAAAATAGATTCATTGACCCTAAAAATGGTGGATTAGGCCCTCCTTCACCTCCGAAACTCGAAATTTTGAATACCCAAAAATTCAAATTTCAAACTTAAACAAATGTTTGATTTTCTCTCACTATACACCTTATTGCCTCTCTCCCACTCTCTCTCTCTGACTCAGCAATGTCACTGCCCTTTCCTCTCTACTCAAACCCCCTCTTCCAAGCTCTTCTTGCAATCCACCATCACCACCAACCACCCATACCAAAAACCCACCCCCACGAACAACAACCCAACACCCCTAAACCCTATCGAAAATCCACTCCCAACATCCCCTTGAAACCCACCCAACACCCCCCCCTAAAAACCCACACCAAACCCCAAAAATCCACTCCCAACAGCCTTGAAAACCCACCCTCAACAGCCTCTAAAACCCACCCCCAAACTCACTGAAAAATTCCACCATCTCCCACCAAAAATCACAAGAACAATTAAGAGAGAGAGAGAGAGAGAGAGAGAGAGATGAGAATGAGGATGAGGAGGAGGAGGAGGCGAGAGGCGAGAACTGGAGAGGCACAGAGACAGGAAAAGGGGAAAGAAAAATGAGAAATGAGGAATTTTTTTTTCTAACAGTAAAATGTAGAAGAAGATAAAAAGAAAGTCTTTTTGAAAGATCACAAGGATATATTTGGGCTTTTAGATTGAGTTTTGACTTTTACTTAAATTTTTTACATCCACACTTGTAAATCTTGCGCGTTTTATAATTTCTATTACTTTTGACAGAAATAGTAACGGTCGCACTTTAGTCCAAAAACACAAGTGAGCTATGTGTTGATTTTTGAACTACAAGGAAGTGATGTGAAAAATACCCAAACCACAAGGAGGTAAACTGAATTTTGCTCTTTATTTTATCAAGCCGAGCTTGAATAAATTTGGGGAGAGTTGTATATGATATGGAGTTGCTATTAAATAAGTTTGGGGTTCTTATCTTTTGAAAAGCGACTATTTGATAATTATTTGCATCTACTTGAGTTGAGCCTACTCGTTGTTTGAATTTAATTCATTTATAAATAAATTTAACATTTTGAGCAAACTTGGTTTATTTTAGAATTTGAATGAGTAAAAAAGCAAAAGTCAATCCGAGATCAGACTAATTGAGAGGGTGAGAGGAGATTTGGAGAAGAAATTAGGGCATAACTTGGGGGATTTTACGTCTAGTATGGAAAGGAGATCGTCGATGGAAAGGAGATCATCTATAGAGGGGAGGGAAAGCGTGAGAGGGGGTTAGTTAATTGAACGTGAACATGGATTTTGGGATTTTATATTTGGAAGGGGAAAAATCAAAATTTATTTGTTAATTCGGTACATTGGATAAAAAATTCTAAAATGATCTGAGTCGTTAATAGTTTGAGTTCAATGAATAAGTCCCCTAATCATCGGCTTAACATTGCGCTCTCTGTATGCATGTGTGTGTGTGAGAGAGAGAGAGAGAGAGAGAGAGGGGAGGGGAGGGAAGGGGAGCAGTTAGACACATGCATTGTGTATACATGCACATTTTGCAGGCATGTAAGAAGTGTGATCTTTGATTCATTAACGAAGTATATATGCATTAGGCCTTTGAAGCCTCTTATAGCAAGACTTTTCTCCCACACCTCACCTACCACCTGTAAATTCAGAGAGAGGAGAGGAGAAGAGAGGTTATGTTCAAGTCGCATGTGAGAATTGGAGGATTCTAAACAAAACAAACAATACTACTACTTCTTATTATTTTCTAATTTGTTTAGTTTCCTCCAATATCTCATCTCCGACTTCTGAACTAATCATTTTTCAAGTACAGAGAGCTGCTGGTACACCAAAATGTACCTCTTCTTTTTCCCCCATTTCGTATGTTGTGTAAACCTAAAAAGTTACAAATTTTCAAAGTAACATTTTGATACCGTAGTCTAGTCTAGTCTAGGTCTAGACTATAAGAAAGAAAGAACAAGGGCAAATTCCATTTTATCCCGGTCTGTTTTAACATTTGGTCCCGCAGTATTAGGTCCCATAGCAAGCATTTTACATCCTTGTGTTTCAAATATAACCATAAGCTTTGAAGATGAGGTCATGCTAAACATCAAATCCAGTTGAGATTATTTCACAAAAATGTTTTCAGCACTAAGTTTCTCAATGCAAGCTATGCTAGGGATAAGACTCGCAAGGACAAATTTATAATGAAACTTAAAGATTCTACGAATAGATTGTAATGCAAGTCCCTCTAAACCGGGTTACAGCAGTTAAGATAGTCGTTTAACCAATGAAAACAAAAACCAAAGCGACTTCTAATGTTTCTCTGAAAATGTTCCAGTTCTAACCTCAAAAAACCAGGCTCCTATTACTGAATCTCACAAAAAAAATTAAGGGGAAAAAGAAAGATGCAACATAAACTCACTCGATGTGTGTATAAGATTGTTTCCTTGATCAGCAGCAAACGGTGAACCCACCATCACTTGTTCTCTTGAAAAAACTCTTCTACTCATCGTCATTATCTTTCTCTACCAAAATCCTCTTGCACGCTTCATAGCACATGAATGAAATCCCAGCAGCAGGCACCAACTTCATGCAGCTGGGGCCAAGGCCTTTATATAAACCCTGGATTCCTTCCTGTTCAAGAATGCTAGTGAGAGCATGAAGCACATTCTTATATACTCGTCTTCCACTAAGAGCCCCCACCTGCATGTGCTTGCGAGCCACCTCAAGTGGAAAAGTCGCACTACTTGATATAGCACCAGCGGCAGATCCAATCAAGAGAGTTTCTATGTTGCCGATTTTCTCTTGCTTGAAAACTTTTCGATAGGACTTCCTTAATGTGTCGTAAGCAAAGTAGTTTGTGGCAGCATATGGTATTACCCCTATTAGACTAGGGGTGAGACCTCGGTAGAGCTCCCCTGGTCCCCCCTCTCGCAATATTTTAATAAATGCATCAAACAAACCATCATAAACTCCTCTCTGCATATTCAATACAACCCAACCAAAATAAAGATCATTTTCACATTCCTACGAAAGTCTTTTAGTACAAAACAGAACGGCATGGTTGCATGTGCCTCAAGTTTACCTCTATGGTTAACCGAGTCTTAAGTAATTCAAGTGGATATGTCACCAGAGTGGAGCTGATTCCAGCACAGGCCCCTGCAACCAGTGATGCAGGTATAGGGAGTTTGGGCTCTTCCCCAAGCTTGGGTGACAAGTTCTTGTTGACTGTATCATAAGCAGCTAGCTGCAAAGAAAACCTAAAAAAATTAGCAAAGATTCCAGAGAAGTGCAATATCAGAATATATGTTGCTATGCAAAGGTTAAACTCAAAGCATAATCTGACTTCTGTTCTCAACTAGATTTAAGCAAAGTACCATGTGACTGACCCTTTATAATTAAGTTTCACACAGATGTATCCATTAAAGACACTTGTCATTCAACACACACACGAGAGAGAAAGAGAGAGAGACGGGGCTAATCTGCAAATGACAAATAATTTCTTCCAGTAACAGAGATAAACACCAGAATTGGGTAAACAGTACAAGGCAACTTGGACATAACATGTGCATGCCGAAAATTGGATACCACGATAAAATACGAAGTGTTATTATTATGTTTATTTATTATTATTATTTTTTGTTTTTTTTTTTTTGGTGGGGGTGGGGGGGGGGGTGGATTGCTCTCTGGACAAGTAATCAATGCCTCAAATGGTGAGAAGCACCATCCAGAATAAAACGAGGGAAAATAAATTAAGAAAGTTACGTCATAAGAAACAATTAGAAACTATGAGAAAGTGAATAGTTCACAAAAGGATTCTGTTAAGGGGAAAACAAGACTGAAATTGATACTAATAATTGGGACAAGTCTTTTGAAAGTTAGTTGATTTGAGTCCAGTATTAGTTTGAGAAGCCAATTTGAGAAAGAATATTGAAGGAGAAGTGTGGAACTGCATCAGGACCTGAGTACCTCAATGGAAAAGAAAAATATTTTTGATCATGACTCTAAACACGTAAAGATAACTACTTTCTTAAATTTGAAAAATTAACAAATAAGATGAAATTTGTTGATGATTCTAGAACTAAGAAGTGCTGAATTATTCCTTCAGTATTCACCTTTTCTCCCCCACCACCCACCCAAAAAAAAAAAAACCAAACACATGCGCGCACGCACACAAAAAGAAAAAAACAACAAATGACAAAAAATATGAGTTCCTTGATAACAAAAAATCCTTGACTAGACTCACACTACGAAATATCTGACTCCGAGATCAACTATTTTATCTGGTAATTATGTGATTTTTCTGATTCACATTTTCTTCTCAACAGATCTAGTGACACTTTATGTTATCCAAAGACTATACTATGATGAGAAAATGGAGGTGAACTTTTGCAATCGTTCGATGCATCATCTAATAAAGATCATCATAAATCTAGTTGCAATCAATATGATCTAAAAGGTAGAATAGCTTAACAGTACACTGCCACTCTAGACTAAGGTTAAAGGAAAGCTATGTAGAACTTTGAATTTGATTTATAAATTTCAAAGGCAGGTTGGTTTCTTTTCCAGCTCATGGATTATAACAATGCTAGCGTAATTCTAGATTCTGATTCCCCATGACTATAGGAAAGGCCATAGGAACTAGAAAGCTAATTTGCTGGCAAGTTGGCATAAGCCAACTAAAATTCTTATAAGCATCACAATTGAGATAATAAAAGAATGGCTTCATCGCCTTCCTTTGCAATACTGAACTTTATAAAATTCATAACAGAAGAAGATCGAATAAAGGTCTAAAGCTTTATCCTTTTCTTTATTCTTCGCTCCTACAAACCAGAAAAAATAACCAACATATGATATACCAATGATAACAGACAAAAGCATTAAATTAGAGACTTCTTCAAAAACTAGTTAGTCTAAACTGACAAAGCTGCAAACAATGAAGCTCTTGTTACCAGAGAAATAATCTCTCAACACAATTTTATTGAAAAAATTTTTTAGCATTCTATCTCCAAAAAGCTAACTAGAAAGCCCGATGCATGCGTCTTGAATATACAGACACTAATTCTTCGACTAAAATCTCAAATGCCATCAATGCACTACTAAAACAAAACTTCCACAAGCAATAACTCAGCCAGCAACCAAAACAAATATAAACAAACAATTTGTTCCCAACAATCTCAAACTTCAAGCAATGAGCTAAACAAACAAAAACACAATGGGAAGAAAACAAAGAAGCAGCCACGTGAAGAAAACGGAAACGGAAAATAAGTAACAGATTGCAGCTAAGCTGCAATTGAACTCAACCACCAATATGATGGACAAACGAAACAACCTGAGTATTTCTGGTTCTAAAGTGAAACTCATAGTAACAACATCCCCACCAAAATTATAAATCAACTAAATAATCATATTGAACTTAAAAAAGCAATCAATCAACCGCTTATAATTCCAATAGGCAAGCAATAAAACCCAATAAGGCAATAAGTAACAAAAATCAAAGCTAAAACCAGAAGAGATCAATTTTACCTCTATGGCTTTGCTTGGCGCAACCCGGATCACATTAACCAGATTACCCCTAAATAATCCTTTCCATCCATCAGTCTTCATGATATCATGGAACACCTCAGTAGTAGAATGCCCACTACTGCCCACCATCAAATGGGTCCTAATTGTCTCCAATGGAGCAACAGCAGTCCTAGAAACTGCTCCCGCAATCGCTCCACTTATCAACCTCCTCAATGAAGGGTTTGCAACCTTCACCTTCAATTTAAGCCCACCTCTCTTCTTCAAAGCCCCTTCTTCTTCTGGAACACCCACAATCTTAAAACCCTCTGGAGACGACACATACTTCGCATATAAATCAGTATATGGAAGCTTAAAGCCACCATTATTGTCTCTGGAATTGGGTGAATTTGGTGAAACTCCAAAGCCCATATTACCCATTTGACCCACACTAGCAAATAAACCACCAGGGTGAAAATTTCCACCCTGGAGACTCCATTGAAACCCCAGTTGAGAACCAGAGGAAAACCCATCTTTTCTATCTTCCAAAATTTGTGTTTCTCTTCTACCCATTATTCAGAACCTCGCAACAAAGCTTTCTCTTAGGTTTCAGAAAATACCCAAATGCAATAATTCATGTAATCAAGCAATTAGGGAACGGAAAAGATTCCATTCTAGCCAAATGGGTATTCAAAAAATGCATTTTTGGCAATCGGATACTCCAGAAAAATCAGAATTAGATTCGATTTCTTGACGAGGATACGATGAGTGCTGCTTTGAGAATATAGGTATATGGGATCCTTTGGGTTCTGGGTAAAGAATCAGATTGAAACACACACATATGGGGTTGTTTTGTGATGAAGAAAAACGAGAAACACGTGGGACTCCGCTTCTCCCATTCAACCCCAGAAAAGAGAACTGTGTAAGAAACTGTGTATGTCTTTATATAGTGGATGTATCTAATTCTGTGTGTTTTTCAGGTTTTTTGTTGCAGGTGTTTGTGCCGTCCCTTGGGGTTGGTGGGTGGCCATAGTTAGGCATGGGGCTCTCTACTACTATTATTATACAAAATCTCGTGACAAGTGTGGCGGCGAATCCATTGATTAAAACCTTGACGACCCCTCCATGATATTCCTAAGGTCCGAGTCGTGGTCAAGTCTTACTGTGACAATTTATTTTATAATCATATAATAATTAATTTTATATCACGTATAAATCATAAAATTCATCGAGAATAATTGGTGACAAAAAGAGGAAATACAGTCGTTCACCAAAAAATCTAAATGAGAGATGGAATATTGCTTTCTTTCTATAATTGATCAATCATTTGTGTAAACAAATAAGATTGAATCATAATCTCGTTTTTAAGATCTCAGTTTGATGAAACTTGAACTTTAATCCTTATTTTATATAAATTTTCGATCAGATATTGAAACTAATATTGTAGTCATCTATGTTAATATTATATAGTAAACAAGTTAGGTGAGAGAGACTTTGGGAGGCCGTTCTTCCTTATTCTCTCGATTCTTAAAATATTGATTTATTTTAATGCATTCACTTTACTTACATTTAATATGTAACATGAGCTTCTCCCCCACTAAGTAATAACTTCTTTTATTAATATTTTTATCAAAATTTGTAGATTAAAATTTAAATTTCAAAAGATAAACAAAATGAATTTTTCTATTCACGGCTGAAATTGTTTTAAATTTGACTTTAAAGTTAATCTAACGGCTAATATTAATACAGTAAATTTAATAGGAAAAATAGACCCCTAAAGATATGTTTGGAATGACTTTTTAAAAGTATTTTTAGAAATTATTTCTCATAAATACTTTAAAAAAAAATAGTGTTTGAAACCGTCCCACCACTACCTCTACCACCCCCACCGCCGCTATCGCAGCCATCGCCACCACAACCACCGCTGCCGCTATTGCCACCACCGTTGCCACCCCTACCACTACCATTGTCGTCGCCGCCACCACCATCACCATCGTTGCTGCAGCCACCACCACCATCGCAACCGCCGCCACTATCATTGTCACCGTCGCCGCTACCACTATCTCCACCACCACCATCGCAATCGTTGCCACCATCACTATCACTGCCGTCACTACCACTGTCTCCACCACCACCACCACCACCTCTGCCCTCGCCACCGCCACGGTTATTGTCACGCACCACAACTATCACCGTCTTCTACTACCATCAATATCGCCCACTACCTCTCACCTCCACTATAAATCGATACTTAAATTTATTTATCTATTCTCTGTGTTTGTGATTTGATTTTTAATATAAATATAAATATGTTTATTATTTACTATTTTTTATTACTCTATATCTTCAGACACAAGCAACAACTAGTTATTCTATATCAATTTAATTTTTATAATTATTTGTCTAACTTTTTTATTCCTTAAATGATGGGGTTAAAGAGATGACAAGATAGTAAAAGAGATAATAAAAAATAATGAGATACAAATTCATACCTCTCATTGTATCGCGGATAATTCCCTATAAAGTATAAACTATAAATTCACCCATCCATTCAATAAAAAGTAATACTACAAAATTTAAATAAAATTTAAAATATTACAATTCAAATGTATATTATTCCATACATCAATGAGTTTCGTTAATTTTTTCCGGATCTACTATTCTTATAGTTTTCTGAAAAATGATATATATATTTAAGTTTTAATTTTTAGGTCACGTGACATTATACTTTAACAAAATTTTAAAGGTGAACTGACAGATCTCTGTTGCCCATTTTTGTCAATGTTTGCTTGACAGGGGACAGTAGTGTCCATGAGGAAAACGTGGTGCGGAATTTATTTACTTTTATTGGGATTAATTATAAATTCCACCCTAAAAAATTATTCGAATATCAATTTATATCTTTAAAGATCAAAAATTTTAATTTATACCCCCAAAGATAGAAATTTGTATCAATATGTACCCCCATAGATCAAAAATCTCAATTTACACCCTTAAAGATATAAATTTGTATCAATATGTACCCCCAAAAATAAAAAATCTTAATTTATACCCTCAAAAATAGAAATTTATATCAATGTGCACTTAAAACTAAATTAATAAATTATACATAGATTCCTTATGTTTGTCACTTAATCATTTGAACTTTTTCATATTTAGAATATTACTTCTACATCTCATGACGTTTGTGCATATGTAACACGTAACCCCATTTTATTGATTTCTGTTAATATAACCGTTAAAAAATATAATTTTATCCTAATAAAAAATTATAATTTCATATTACCATTTATTTTATGGGTCCAATATACTCTAAAATTCAAAATCAAACTTATCATTTGAATGTCTAATAGAATAAAGAATTGCACATTGAGTGATATATTGCATTGGATATAAAAACTATCATATAAGTATCTACATTCTATTGGATATTCAAATAATAAGCTTAATTTCAAACTTTAAAGTATATCGAATCCACAAAATAAAGAGTAATATGAAATTATAATTTTTTATTAGGATAAAATCATATTTTTTAACGGTTATATTAACATACATCAACGAAAAAGTGTTATGTGTTATATGTGCACAAACGCCATGAAATGTGGGAATAATATTCTAAACGTGAAATGGTCCAAATAATTAAGTGACAACATGAGAGAATTTAGGTATAATTTATTAATTTAGTTTTAGATGCACATTGATATAAATTTCTATTTTGGGAGTGTAAATTAAGATTTTTTATCTTTAGGGGTCCATATTGATTCAAATTTCTATCTTTTAGGATAAAAATTAAATTTTTTATCTTTAGAGATGCACATTGATACAGATTTTTATTTTTAAGGGTATAAATTAAAATTTTTTATCTTTAAAAATATAAATTAAAATTCAAACTATCTTTCAGACTATAATTTACAATTAACCCCTTTTATTATAGGTCATGGTACACACTAGCTCCATTGCTGTCACCGACGATTCTCTTCGCCTTCACACGCATCCCTGATTTTCCTCAGCTACTCTTTAATGCTCTCACCAAATTTTCCATCTTGATCTGGAGCTCAGTATCCTTGTTAGAATTTATTCGCTCATTATAGACGACTTGTTGGTTTTAGACATAATTATCCATGTGCGTAATTATAAAAAACAGGATTAAATTCTTTACAAACCCGTCAATCAAAATTGAAAAGTTATACAAACACATAAATCAATGTTAAAAATTTTCAATAAATTTATATATATTCCTCAATTTTGATTTGTTGCTTGTAAACACAATCTGGCTGTAAAAAATCTATTTTAAAAAAAATATAGAAATGGGTAAAAAGTGAATGTTAAGGTTAAATGAAAAAATAAATTACACTTCATCCTCTCAAATTATTAATTTTGTTTTATTTTATACCCTCAATTATAAAATTTCTTACATTGTACCCTAAAGTATCAATTTTGTTTCGTATTACTCTAATAGATAACGACAAACTTAAAACTCTGTCAAATAATGGAGAGAAACCCCAAAGAGCTTTCCACTAAAAACCTAGTACCACTTCATTTTACTTTTTTTTACAACCAAATGGTTGTTTGGAAGAAAAAAAAAAATCAGTCAAAGAAATAAAATTTAGAACTTAAAAAAGACAGTCATAGAAGGGTATTTTTCTTAATTTTGGACTATACATGTACATAGTATAGACCACTCATTACTATCTATTAGAGTGATATGAAACAAAATTAATATTTTATGGTAAAATGTAAAAAAATTTATAATTGAGGGTGTAAAGTCAAATATAGGTAATAATTTTATGTACCCTTGACTCGTGATTATAATGTAATTCAATCACCCGCAAACCATAGCGCAACTAGTTACAACCTCCAAAGTAATACCTCTAGGTTTATAGTAACAAATCTTCCCACTTCCGAACCGGTAATGACATACACGCGTATTCAAATGACAACAATCAAGCAAATAGTAATCATTTGTCTTAGAAATAATCTCTCTAAAACATAACACGAAAAAGAATCATTTTATTGATATATCCGTTTAAGAAAATACAATGATAGAAAGTTGACATACAAGATAAATGACCAAATGTCTACCAGAGAAGTGAGGAATCAATATCGTGAATGTGTAAAGTAGGTATGGCATACATAGAACAAATTTGCTTCTCAAGGGGGCTTACTAAGGTTATGATGCAGTTGCACTATCATCTTGAAATTCTTCATGATGCTGCATATGGTAATAGGGATGAAGATGATGGACTCCTTCAAGGTACAATGGTGTTTGCATTTCAATCAAACGCGAGACCTAAAGAGAAACACAATTTGAAGACATTAGTTCCAATTTCGATGCTTAAATGTTCATCTGTAGTTTATTGAAATAAATGCAATTTATTCGATATAAGAGTTTAGCACAACATTCAGCTCAAAATTGTGGGATCCATTACAAGATAGAGATTATGCAGCTTTTATTTTTAATCTGATTATGCAATGTGGTTCATGTGTCACATCCAGTAGATTTGTTGTTTTCTTATTGCTAGCATTGAGTTTTGATTCTTGAACCCCTGACCCCTCTTCTCACTTAGGATGCCATGCAAGCACTTAACTAACTACGAAGAAAAAGCTTGAAATTTGTTTCAGTTAAAAGTAATGTTTTTTTGGACCAAGTTAAAAGTAATGTTGGAACTAGTAAATTATCTGCTAGAAACCCCAAGCAGTTGGAGCCTCGTGGACTAGGACGCCCCTTTTATTTTTGGTTTATTTTTGGAGGCCAAAAAGGATGGGATTGGGTTACTATAGGTAAGCTCTTCGCAGCGTGGAGTTTTGGATATTAAATTAGACCTTACGAAGTAAAACGAAGAAACTTGTGAGCTGATTGTTATCAGAAATGCAGATAATAATAAAAAAAAACTAGAGAGGAGAGGAGACATCGAAGGAAGAGGAGAACCCCTAAGGAATCTCACCTCATCCCTTATGGTGCATCCCTAAAGTTATGTTGTATCATCACAGAACAATTCAAAAGCTTCTATCAGAACCATTACCAGAAGAGACTATGTAGAATATCAAGACTGCTGTAATTCTAACACTTCAACCATACAGGAACTTCAAAAAAAGGTAAAACAGAGAAACATGTAAAGATGCAAATGCAAGCAATCATCATTTCTTTGATCCATAATTAAGGTTCACTATTGCCCAATCCAAATTGTTGGACCTGGTATACCACGGATTCTACTACAGAACAGCATTATGGGGGAAAACAAGTTAAAGAAGCCTCAGATAGTTGTTATACTTATATTTACCCCCCAAAAAAAACCACCTTCAGTTTGCTGCAATAATGAACTCAACAATCGTAGAAAACTATAACCATCACTCTGCTTAGTGATTTAGTGGAAAAAATAAACAACATAAAGCTACACTGGGAAAGCAAGAATCAGAAATTTCATAAATACAAGAAAACTAAAATACACTGAACTGAAGTCCTCATGTTAAACCAAGCCACAATAATCATCTTGAAGTTATAAGTACATGAAACCATGTTTCCATAGCTAATTCTTATTTTCTTTTCATTGAATATGTGTGTGTGTGTGTGTGTGTGTGTGTGTGAGAGAGAGAGAGAGAGAGAGAGAGAGAGAGCGACAAGAAGATAATTATGCTTTGCAGACACGGAAAACCACTTACAGCTCGACGAAAGGCAAACATCTCCTCTTGACCAGATAGCAGGGAAATGATACCCGCAGGTGAACCTCCTGCACCCACATTGCCTTCTGCTAACACATTTCGACGAAGTTTCCCACCTTCAGCCTCCGTTTCAAATTGGAAACTGGAAAAGTACAGCACATGCACCCACTTTATTGTAAATCCTTTTAACTAAGGCCCCCAAATTTTAACCACAGAAAAGCTGATAGAAAGTGAAACTTCTTGTGCTTTACTTGTATTCAAGAATCTTCTACTACAATGCTTAAAAAAGGTATATTCAACTCACTTTACAATGGCTAAGAAATACCATAAAAAGTTTCAGACACATAACAAGTTGCATGAATGTTCTGGTTTTATTTCCAATTGACAGCAAAGAGTCCCTTTTTTAAAGTAACATGAAAAATACAGTCACCTAGAAACATAGTAATTAGTTAAGGCCCATATATATTAGGCTTCCTTCAAATATTTTTGGTCACATAGGATCAAATACAAACATCAGTTAATTGGTATGACCTCCAACCTTCATGATTGTACCATATACTCTTCTCAATTGTGTAATAATGTAAAATCAGAACCAAGTCAATTGTGTGTCATCACTGAAAATCATTGCAAAGTAGAAACTGGATATTAAGATTGAAGAACAAGGTAATGACTAAAACCCAAGGTTTTCATAGTCACTTACAGCCATGGCTGATGCACAATATAAATTCGTTTCAAGAACTAGAATTCAACGCAGTGATCAAACAAGACACCTAAGCAAAACTAAGTAACCTTCATAGCTCAGCTTTCTCGGAAGGAATCACAGGTACGCATTGTATATAACAAGCCATTACTAAAACATCATTATATTTTAATTAGTCACTGGCTATAAGCTTACCAAACAATTAAATAGAAACGTGCAATGTTAAAGAGTGCTCTGAAATCCGTCAATAGTTATGGCTGAAAGTTGCTTTTATCATTACTCTTCTTGTTGTCATTGCCTAGTTGTTCGCACTGTCATCTTTGTTCTTATTGTTTAATGAATGAGCTGCTTCAATTAATTGTTTAAAAACACAGAAAAAATGAAGCTCATGATAGTAGTTTGGCATTTGTGTAGAGTTGTACGTTACATTCCAAGAATAAAAATAATATATCATTCAAATTCAAACATAATTAGGATAGGGAATACAGAGAATAAACCAAAAAAAATTATTCTTTTATAATTTTTCCTTACGTGAGTCACATTGTGAAGTATTTCTAGCAGATATGGAAGAGAAGAGAACATATATTTTAATAATCACTATCAACTAAGGAATCAAATTGTCTTAAATATCTAAGGATCTACCAATGAAGATTGGTACTTATACATAAATTTTGATATGCATCAGTGACCAGTTAAATGCAAAGTAACAAAAAATAGTTATACGCACAATTCAATAGAACGAGTAAAGAACACAAATTAAGGGTATGGTTTTTCTTAAGATAACAGATTGTAGCAGATATAGCTTAAGTCCTTCGATTGTAAACTCTTTAAAGGTTTGAAGGCAGGGAAGCACTGTAGTCAAAGTAAAAACTTACTATCTAGAAAGTTTTGAAGATCATCTTCTCTTGATATCTAACTATGAAATCTATACCCCCCTAAAAAAGATTCAGTGAATCATACGGCATAGGAATACACCAGGAGGTTTTTTTATTCTTCAACCTTTATTCATATCAAGTTGGGATTCATCTTAGGATGTCACCTAATAAGCCCAATTCATAAACAGAATAGACAGGGATGACAGATGTTAACGGTGGAAGTCGAAATCAGGATAAGGATGAAGTAGAAAAAAATTTAAGACTCATTCAATCAAAATAGGTGGAATACGCAAATTTGATTCCACCAAAAATGAGAGTTATCTGCAATCAACTGGGGGCTATGCCCAACCTGCCATTTAAGCCGCTTGGCGAAGTTTGTTGTTTCACAAAGAAAGAGAAACTTAACAGGTTGAGATGGCTAATTGGTGATTCCAAGGCTATATTACTCAATTAGGCACATAAGTAGCATCATATGAGATGGTGATGTGGCCTATTGTGAGCGTTTGGTGAAAATCAAGGGATCATCCTCTGACATGTTATTTGAACATTTAGATGTTTTGTAGCACTCTTCCACCAAAACTAATACAAAAGCACCACAATTGTACCTCCGTAAATTCTACTATGGAAGAAAGTCGTCTGTTGTAATAAAGCTATAAGTTATCATGTCACTAGTCCAAACGCCAAAACAGAGAGAGAGAGAGAGTAATCACTCAGTACACCGCAAGTAATAGCCAGAATATCAAGAGCTCTTGAAGAGAATGGAAAACCAAACAAAGAACTTGCCTCTCCAAATCAAAAAGGGTTCCCTCTTCAGTTCCCTGAAATAAATCATCAATAGAAGAAGCTGCAGAACAATACAGGCAACAATGATGATTGTATAATTCATCCACAAGCGTGATGAACCTCCGTGCCTGAAATGCCCCACACATTATCATTAAAAATTAAGAGTAAGTTTGTTGAGCTAGAAAATCAAGGAATGGCTCACGATTATGCTAATGCATAATTAATAAATTTACAACTGGATCTGAATATTAGTTTAATTTTGTGTGTGGACTGCATCCTACATTATCAAGGCACCTCCTACTTGGTCATGTGGACTTCCTACTTCTCGAGCACACATTCTAAAGCTTTCGTCACTTCTAACTTATAGCATAATTCAAATCGAATATATCAGTGAGAAAGATGATACTCGATTGATGGCTCCTAGTGTTACTCTCTCATATGGCAGAATTTTTTGATGCTATTTGGGTTGTTACAGTTAACGTTTGAATGTCCTGGCCCAATTTTTTTACAGCAGCACCACCGGCCTAACTCTCTGGAGGTGAGTTTTTCTCAATCAGGAGATTTGGTTCAAAGGAAATGGATAGCATGTTGAAAACAAGTTTTAGGAATTTAAATGTAGGTTATTTTATTGTATTAGCTTAGGAAATTAAATATTTTTCTAATGGAAAATTCTCTCTAACAGCTTTCTATCTCTCCTGTCTATACTTCTTGTTCATGCCATTTCTTCATTCTCCATCTTCTACTCTTTTTTCTCTCTCTCCGAACCTTACATTCCCTCAGATGAGCCATATCTCTCTAATCCTACATCAAAATATACCATCAAGAACAATGCTTGAGACATTAATAAGTAAGACAGATTTGACTGCTTTATAGCCAAGGATATAGCTTTACTAAAACTGCCTGGAGAAGGCAGATCCATGTGGCATGGAGCACGTAGTGGGGAAAGTTTATTTACGTTTTCTATCACTTAAGTGCGAGATAACATAAATGCTTGAAGTTGTTATCTAGTAATTTATTTATAATTCATAATATAATTCTCTTGCTTATATTTATAAATTTTACATATTAGTTGATAAATTTTTTATTCATGCTTTGCCCCCTGTAAAATTAAATTCTAGCTCTGCCCCGGAGTATCGGCCAATAGCAATATGAGTTGCCCAAGTCATATAAGCATTGGCACCGTCCGATCCAATACTATTTCAGATTACATAAAAACTACGAGTCATGCATGACTCGACCGATTCGCCCAACTTGTCTCCGAGTTACCATTATAGAATCGGCCGATATTATTCCACGACACCATGATATGACCTAAATCTCTCGTCATACTCAACTTTTTTTTAAGTCGTACCAGCCGAAACAGTTCTGGCACACCGCAACCGTTACATCTCAGGGCCTTTCCAGTCGATGGCACGGCCTTGAACCATTGATTGAATTCATCTTGGCTTCACTATAATTACAATGAGACCATGTTCAGCACCAAAACCAAGATCACCTAGGCAAAATGGTACCAATAAATATAGTCCAGAACAAAGAGACAGCACTTCATGTTGGATGGTCAATCGACTTGTTAATGCATATCACATTTTAATAGGATCCCCCTTAACGACAATTCCTATTTAAGTCCATAATCCATATTGACATATTTGGCTAGATATTGGAAGTAGTAAAAGCAGTACAGTACCTTGTCACGAATGCGCATGCTCATTGCAGGAATGTGTGAGATAAAGACTGTGTGATAGTTTTTAGCCACTGCAATATAATCTGCTGCCCCAACCTGAAGATGTTTAGCATTAAAATATAATGAGAAAAGAAAAGTACAGTAGCAACAATAAAACAAACTCAAGCAAAAACATGAGAAATAATTTAAATTTTTTATTATATCTGTTATTCTATGTGATTCATGGAGAAAGGCATATGAGTTTTTTAATCCCACAAGCTACCCAAGAAGAGAGGTTTTTTTTGTTGGGTGGGGAAGGGGGTAGCGTAGAGTGTTCACTTGACGAAAACTCGTAAGCATGAAACTTGTCAAGTTGACCTTTGAAGTTTCAACTGCAACTATGGGTGTCAAGTTGAGTTAAGAAAAGGTTCCCCACCAGCTCCCGTTCTGCGGCGTGTTGGCAGGACAGCTAAGGGATTGGCTCCGGGTGTAGATTGGGTTCAATCTGCAGGGGTCATGCAAATACATGGGCCCCTTCCCTTCTCTTTTGGATGAATAGGGTGGTTTAGAAGCCGTTCTCTGATCTACAGTCCCTCAGAGTGAAGAGTTAGGCACCTCTGACTTCCAGCTACATGTTGTGCGGCTCCCACGAAGCAAATGAAGGGAAGCTCAAATAGCTTTCTCCACCAGCGGCTTATAGGTAGTGGACGATCTTATAAGGCTCGCTAAGCTTCGCTTTCTTCCCCCTTCCCTTATTAAGTGGAAAGTTTTCACCAAGTAGTCGGCATTCTATAAGCGACTTATTGAGTCTACGAATATTTGCTTCTTGTACTCGGGCTTAAATACCTCCTTTCATTTGCTTACTTTCTCTTGCACTTGCTTGCGCGAAGGCTTATAGAGTCATTTTCCCTAGGTCCAAAAGCTTCCGTCAAATCAAGTTTAGTTAACCTTTTAAGTTTCAACTGTAGCTATGGGTGTTAAGTTGAGTTAATCTTTTGGAGTTTTGACCGCAACTATGGGAGATACTCTAAAGCTGGATTTAACATTAGGCAAATTTGGTATATAAGGACATGGGCCCTATTTTATTTTGACGAACTAGAGTTTAACTTTGTTAGAGTTCTTATGTATATTATTAGTAGTGTTGGGTAATATTATAATTTCTATAATATCGGTTTACTATATATAAGAGAGTGTAGGACAACATAGCGAACACAACTAATTATTCCCCTCAATCTCTTTCTCTCTCTTCCTCCCTTCTTTTCTCCCTCATAAACCCTAATATCAATTTTATCCTTCAACTAACTTGATTCTCATATACTCACTCTTTTTCGCTTTTCATTTTTGGTTATTTTTGATGTGCTATTAATTTGTTCCAACTCAAGGATACTATATTGATGGTTTTAAAGGATCAAATGGCTCAAGAGAAGTCATAAACCAAACCGGCGATCTTGTTCCAATTCAGATCACTATGACTGATTGATAAGTAAATGGTTTTAGGAAACTCATAAACTAAACCGGAGAAAGGAGTTCAAAAGGATTCTAGAAGATCAAGAGCTTAAATTGGTAAGGATAGGAATCGGCTGTTTCGGTATATGTATACAGCTCAATATAAAAAAATGGCCCAGTCCACGAGGCTCCCGATACTGCAAGGTCTCAAACGGATCAGATGTGGGCAGCATATTACCCCCGCATGTGGAGAGGTTGTTTTCGCGACTCAAACTCTTGACGCCCTGGTCGGAGCAACCTCACCACTTGCGATGATAAAACCTAAAGACAAAATTAAACAATCAGCCAAAGCCAAGAACAGTACCGGTTGACCACATAAATACTCAAATGAGAACCGTGCCACCCCGTTACAGCTTTCAGGAACTTCCAATGTTCTGATTCAAAACAGAAAAATATATCATGAAGCTAGATCAAGTGCACTCCGGGGGTAGCGGACTGAAGTTCTAAAAGATACCTTCCAAACATCACTGGGATAGTTTTAGAGGTGACCCTTCCACCTGATTGTCTCAAAATCTCGTCCCACATTTTCTCAAATTCCCGGATTGCACCCTTATCCAGAGGCCAGAAGTAGTGAACCTGCAGATATCCTACATAAATTTTGCAGCCAATAGGAACACAAACTAAACTGCTAAAGCACAAATAAAAATTTGCAGTGAACTCTGAATTCTGTATCTCCATACAGAATTATTGGCTCCAAAGATATTTTTTGGATATACGGAAAAAAGTGCAGAAATACCCTACTTTCCAATAGATTACCATAGCAATAACGACACTGAAATAGATGGTGAAAATGCAGTAACTAAGATTGGAAATCAATGCATTTGTGAGAACTGAGATGCAGCAACATAACTGACAACAAGAGCATGATGGGTACGTGCAAAACCATCAGCTTGATTAAATCCCAGTTGCAAAACTATGAGCTTGATATTCTTAAACATGTTTAGTTTGAAAAGTTGACACCAATTTTTGTGTTGCACCAAGTCTTGGTAAAAAGATGAATCAACAATTTATCGTCTTACAGATAGATTCATTTCTACTGCATTAATCTTACCTGTTTAATGGCTACAAAGGAACATGTTTTTTCAGCTATGAAAATTAACAAGACTAAAACCAATAGGATGGATGATGTTCTTTAAAGTTATTTCAGTATAGGCAGTCGTTTAACTAAAAATTGTAAAAAATAAAAAGATGAGGTAATTGCATGCAGTCATATTTTGTGAGCAGGTCATGTCATACATGCATGTGTATATACAATCATCGAGACAGTTGTAATTGACAGGCAATAAAAACAATAATTGAGGTTGCTCTAATTCTCACCTGGTCTAAAGATCTTTGGGCTATAAGACGTCGATAATCAATTTCACTTCCAATCAGAACATTTTTGCAGTGCTCCTCCAATTTAGCTACTAACTGCAGAAAGATCTCACGCTGCATACCATCCTGAATCAGCAGAGACATAAAAAAAACTTAATTTAGTCTACAACAATTTAACTGTACACCCCGTATGCATGTAATCTTTTGCAAAATATGGTAATAGATGAAGAAAAATCTAGAGAATACCCAAGAACAATATGTAGTTTACCAGGGAAGAAAATGTGGAAACTCTGAAACTTATGGAAGAATAAGTGACATCATGTATTAGAGCAGTATATAGGTCATGAAGTCATGGTCTTCAAAGAATTCAGTTGAGAACATACCTGATTCAAGTCCATTGGTGCCCGATTACTGGTGGCCACAAGAACAGTTCCAGTACTTAACAATCTGCTTACAATCCCGGATAAGGCCACAACAGCAAACACATCTACCGTCTGTAATAGAATGCGTCTAGAATTTAGAATAAAATTAGATGTGAATACTTCATCCAAAGTGAACTGAAGCTAACCATTTAATTCAAGAGAATAAAATGATGAGGAACAGGAACAACCCAATCACATAAGGAAAAGATCCTCTTCCACAAGGTTAAGGCCGAACTTTGGGCTGGTAAGCTGATCTAGAACTGTCATTCTAAATACAGAAAAAGAAATTGAATGATGCTATATAACAGAGAGTAGATTTTAATAACAAGTAATCCCTTAAGATAGAGAGCTCAATAATAAATTTTGATTCATCATCAAGAGCATGGATGGAGCTCATATCCATATTATCTTCTTTTTCAGAAACCCAATTTTTATTTTTATTTTGTTTTTAGCAAGTTCTTTCAGGATAGCTTCAAAATGCAGTCCTTGTCATCAGTCACTAAGCATAACTCATAAGCATGCCAGTAGCTAAAACCTCACGAAGCATCCACATTTTGATTCTTCAAAACTTCATATGACAGTTACCTGTACCAGTAAGGGTATTAACAAGCCGAATTCAGCTAGAATTTCTTCCAAAATATTTGGAGATCCTTATGGGGATGTATGCACCATTTTGCAGGGCTTATTTTTGTTTTAGAGTACCTCAAGGCATTTTGGGCATGTTCATAATCTTGCCTTGCCCATATTCACAACTACATTCAACTTCAAATTGCTTCACTAGTTGAGTGGCAGTGCTGTAATGAAATTAACAGCATTGACAGATGCTTGATCTTGTGTCTACCTTGTCGACGTTCTCTTTTATTGCATTAACATGCATTAGTCATTGAATATTTCCACGTCATTTGACATGTTAAGGCAAAACAATAATTTTTTAAATCCTAGAGGATCAAAACCTAGGAAGCATGGACACTTCATTTTGGCGAGAGTGTCGATGTTAGACACGAACACATGTTAGACACACTAAAATAATTGTCCGACTTTTTTATTGTTATATTTTTTTTAGGACACGAGAATATGTAGCCGAAATGCTCAAGACACGTTGGGGATACGTGGCCAACACACTGCGGGACACGTTTTGAGATTTTTTAGTAAAACTTTTTTGAGAACTCTTCAAATAACTTTATAATTAAGTTTATTTTTGTAATTTTAAAGATATATGAATCAAATTCATAATACAAAAAGAGTTAAAATCACTATATTGAACATTGGATATGAATGAGGGACCCAAAAAAAATATAAAACATGAATGTAACATCATTTTGAATTCAAATACGAACATATATACAAATGTAATAAACTTTTATTATGAAAATAATGTGAAAAAAAAAAGGTTACAAAATTAAGCCTCTTTGAAATTAATAAAAATTAGTGTTACAAAGTATAATATTTTTTAAAATAAAAGTTGCAGTAATCATTGATTGTTGGATCATGAATGTTAAATTTGAATATGTATTGGCATATCTTATATTGTATTTTTAGAATTAAGGAAAGGATGAATAAAAAGATTATCATGATAATATTTTTATTTTATCGCATGATTATACATAAATATATTTTATATATAAAATACTTATTATTTATCGTATCCCCAACGTGTCCGTGTCGTGTTATATCCATGTCCCGTATCCGTGCTATGCTTCTTGACTCAAAACAAAAGGCAAAAACATGATAATAAACTATTTTTCCTCGTATAGGTCCTCCAAGTATGAACCACCCAAAAAAGTGTTCTATTATTTTCATTTTTGCACCATGCTGTATGTTTTGTCTGAAAAGGGAGAAAATTTTGTTTAAACGTAAAGGCTGAACTAGTACCATTGAAAGATCCTCACACCAGTGAAATATGGAGAATGCAATAAAACAATAGAAACTTGAACAGTACTCCAGCACGGTGCCTTTCAACAATGTGAAATCCCCAACATGCACATCGACACTGAACCAGGTCTACATGCTTTTTTGTATTAGTTTAAATGGAAAGCCAGATTGCCGGTATATGCATCAAAAAGAATATGACTAACAATGATGTGCCAACACAGAGTTTTATACTTTTGATGTCCAATCGTCAACAAAAGCGAGCACCTACAACAAATTCAATTCTACCTGTATTTCGTCAAAGCATAAAATGCTAGCTCCTCCATGATCTCCCTGTTGATCAACAAGAAACTTATCTGCCACAGCTGGAAGAATATATTTCATCTGTACCTCTTGCATATATTTTTCTTCTGCAGCTACCCATTCTTTCACTTTTGTATCAAAAGGAAGATTCATAATCCAGCTAGAAATGCTTGACTGGTGAGACTTCTTCTGCACTTGATTCTTCCATATTTTATGCATAAGTTCATGTATTACAAGCATAGCCTGATAATGAAAGTTAGATAAGGATAAATTGCATTGAAATGAGAGATGTTAGCACATTGATAAAATCTGCTAATATTGTGATTGGCGGCAGGTTTGAAAGTAAATAGACACCACACAGAAGTTCGCATCAAAATGGGTGTCCAAATTCCCTGTCAATATATGCATACATGATGTCCATGCATCCTCTACATCAAATCCCAGAAATCTATGTCTCTACTTACAACCAAAAAATGGAGAAGCTTCCACACAAGCTAAATACAATAAACCCTAAAACTCCCTACAGACCAAAGAACCTAGTGAAAAGAAAAAAGCCTGCCCGTAGAATCTCTGATAACAAAGTCTCATAGATCCCTTCAACTCCAGACGAGTATCACAACTTCCAACCTCCCATTATTCCTACACCTCCGTTGAATCATAAAGCCACAAACAGTCCTAGGAAAATGCATCTCTATTGGCCCACAGTCACATTGCCTTCTTTTACCATTTCTCCAATCACTCCCCTTCCCCCTGTCTCAGACCTCCACCTTTACCATATATCGCAAACGAGATCCAAGCATCTATCTCTTGATAGCCAAATGACACCCCAAGGTCGCACGGACCTCATCATATAGCCCATGCCATATTCAGAAATCTCGACACATGGAATCATCATCCCTTCAAAATTATGGCTCCTGTAAATAAGCATGGATAAAGATGCTTCATTATCTGGAGGAGTCCAAGAAGCTGCGTTCCTAATCCTCTCTACCGCATTAAACTCAGACAAGCTCCATTCCGAAACAAAAGAAGTTTCTTCTTCACCTGATACACTTGCACATTCCACACAATCCATTGGATGCATCTCTATCCCTATCCCTGTTTCCATTCCCCCAGGATCCAGGTTGGTTTTTTATCAGTATTAAGCATCAACTTGTTTTGGTAAGTAAACAACTCCTTTGAAGGCAAACCACATAGAGTCTACCTATGGAAAAAACTCCAACAGTGTGTCAAAAAAATTTAGGCTGAAAGCTACAATCTATCGTTTTTTTTTTCCTTCTGTCCTTCCCCTTTTTTTGGAGATTAAGGTGAAATTCGACCAAAATTGACAACAACATTGTTGCTGAACACAAAAGTTTAGAAAACCCAAATCAAATGATTCAACACTTACTGGCTGCATATTAGTACAATACTATTAATGATTATAACAAGACGCAACTGCTTATCTGCCCAAGCTATACGTCGAGTGTTCAAGGCCATGAATCAACCTCTCCAAAAATGGGCGTAAGGTTGCATACCACTTACCACTCCAATTCCCACTACAGGCAGGAGATTTGTGCACTATGTTCATTGGAGGAATAGAGACGAAATATAATGTCAAACTAAATCAATTCTGAATCAATGTTGACAATATAAAATCATATTTTGACTCGGGCTAGACAAGCATACCTTGCCAATATAATGCCAATACATACCCCAAATCAGGAGGAGGTCATCAAATTTGGATGAATTGAATTTATAATTGCAGCACTACCAGAGAACACTTGGACACCATAATAGTTAAAATAAGAAAACCAAGCCTGAATTTTCTTGAAACAAAATGCAGAAGAAACACGAGAGGAAAATATCTGACATTACACCACAATGAGACAATGCATGTCTTTTCATAACCCAAACAAATATTGTACTTGTGAACATTGTCTAAAATACCACCTATACACTAGGCAAAGCACAACCAAACATTTACCTCATGAAAGTGAAACCTCCTTCGGTGTTTAACAATCCCTTCAGTGGCACTATAAAACATATCCATAAGCATTGTCTTCCCTACAGGATCGACAATTTTTTTCAGTTTTATATATAAAAACAAATAAACTTCAAAAGATTTGAAGTGCGGAAATTAACAACGAAAAAAAGAAAAACTACATGCAAGAACCTGCTTTACATAAACTATCTTCCACATGAGAAAACTGATTATAGGAAATGAAGCTTTGCGGTGCCATAAAAGAACCAATCACCAATTCTCTTCATATCGAAATAATCGAATATAAAATAAATCCAATCCTACTGTTTTGCTCACAAGTAATGAAAAAAAATACAGAAACAAACCACTTCCCACACTCCCGAACAGGTAGAGTCCTTTTGGGGCTGGAGGAGCAGTGGGACGGCGACCAACAAGCGAGTCCAACTTCTTCTCACGATTAAGATAGGAAACCCACTTCCCCACTCCTGGTTCAACATTTTCAGGTTTTCTCCTAAGTCAACAGAGATCCATCAGTAAAGAAGGGAACCAAGACAAATAGCAAGCGAAGAACAAAAAAAAATAAGATCCTATTGACAAGGTGCCTACGTGGATTTGCATCTACTACTAATGGACTTCACACATATGAATCTATTTTTTACTTGTTTATATGGTCATTATGAGAAAAGAACAACGTCATACTAGCCAGAACCAAGAGGACAAGCACTTAAATCTGGATGGTAAATTGCAGCTATTTAATGTCAGAATTTAAGTTGCACGATCAATAGAACACATCCGCACAAGGAAAATGATTGAATGGCATATCTAGTAGACTAAAGATGCATGATTTATAACAAACCAAAGCCCTTGTTAGAAGCTTTCTTAAAGTAATCAGTCAACAGTTAGTAGTAAAACATAAACACGTGTTCCAATAATCCAGATGATTATCTAAAGGAGTAGAATATTAGGACCTTCTGGACAAAGGTCAAATGTGAAATAGTCAGAGATAAACTTGGGCAATGTAATTGACCAATGTATACAAACCAAACACATATATAGCCCACACTAAAATTCTATGAGATTATAAGAGCACTGCCAGTTCAGTTTCACGAGGTGGCAATGTTGCTGATTTTGACTTCGCGTGGCAAAACAGTTGCAAGTTGCAACAATGAAGATAGCGGTTAAAGTTGTTATGGTGAGGCTATACAGGGATTTAGGAGGCAGGTCTGGTAGAGGTGGGAAGCAAGGTAATGATTTAGTGGTGGTGCCACAAGATTGAATTGAAAGTACAGAAATTTATCAAGGGGGCCATGCTGGGGGCAGTAGGCTAGGAGAGAGTGGTAGTTTATGTTTTTTATCTTTCTTTTCCCTTTTTATTGGGGAGCAGTAGGCTAGGAGAGAGTGGTAGTTTACATTTTTTATCTTTTTTTCCCTTTTTATTGGGGAGCAGTAGGCCAGGAGAGTGTGGTAGTATGGGAAGGCACAAAAAGCAGCTTTGGTTGTAGTGGTATTGCTGCTTAGGTTTTACCAAAAGTGAAACTGATGCAACTAAGCAATAATATCTTCCAACGTCAATTATTGCATGATAGGACTTTAACGGGAAGAATGGCATCCATGAGAAATAATCAAACTGGAGTAGAGAACACAAATTAAGTCACTTCACTTCAAGAATGAGCTATTAAGTACTATTAGATACGATAATCAAATAATTCTAGCGATGATTAGCACTCTATTCTGCCAATAATGGATGAAAATAATTTCCCAATTTGAGTCACTTCATTCATGGGATTCAGATATCCCTTGAAAATTAGGCATCTCGTACCACATAGCATGATGTGCTTTTATCACTTGATAAAATAAACCGTTTGCAAAGCCTTACACAATGTTTCATATGAACTCTTACAACTTGACACTGTTTAACCTGAAGTACATAAGTCCTTGCACCAATACCAATAAGAACTTTAACAATAATATTCTTCCCAACCATAAGAAATTATTAATGAAGCAGCAATCATTTATCAGCCGTCAAAAACATATTAAAAAGATATTTGAGGCAGTACACCTCACCTGGAGATCCATCTTTCAATAAATCTATTTCGATGCTTGCTTACTGATGTCAGTATGTTTCCCTGCTGTCTGACCTCAGCTTCCTCCATCAGAAGCTTACGCCGCTCATTCTCCCTATCCTCCTCCCAATTGGATACCTTTACCTAGAAAAGGAGAGAGAAGATGCACAATCATAAGAGTAGCATTCCTAGAGTAGTCATAGTCTCACAGAATCCCAGATATATTCCCACATGGTATTCTTCCATTTCATTCTCATATTGCTCCAACCTCTCCAGCAAATTTTCAAGTTCCACAGCAACCTTTTCCTGGAAAGGATCATGTTGTAGCTTCCCACATTCAACAAGACTCCTATAATGTGTAAGTGGTCCTGGGGGAGAAAAATTTATGTTATTATGTAATACAGTTATGTATACCTATAACTACAGAGCTGAAATGGCACAGTGACAATATTGGATCTGATTTCATACAGCCATACATGACTTGATTATGATAACTTGTCCATTAATGTTAAGTGTACTAATAATTCCTTTTGGCCCTTATATTCATTCATTAAATTTACCAAAAGATGGTAGACATTACTCTCTCTTCTTTTCAGGGAAACTCAAGAAGGTAGTATTTCCCTAAGCAGAAAAAAGAAGAGAGAAAGGAGGGAATAGGTTTCCCACTCACAGATTATGGGATTCAAATTGATGACAGTTTGTGATATATATTACCTCCTGATATATAATCTGTCATCTTACAAACTATCAGAATCCCACTTATAAAAGTCGGGATTGTAGATACCCCTAGCGTCTCACGAACTAGGGTTGCACGACCCAAAATGGAGTGGGTTCGCGATCCAAATCGCTCAAAGTCCCGACCCCAAGTTATAACTCAAACCACAAATTGATTCATGATCATAATCTCAACCCCAACCCCAAATCATAATTCTAACTTGTTATTCCTCTATTTTGACGTTCTTTAAACGTATATTTTGACAACATTTATCAGAAATATAAAACAAATATTTATTAACTGCATGTATATGCATATATTATTCTATATTGAAGTTGCAAAATGAACCATGACTCAAATCAGCATACCAGCTAAGACTGTCATACAACGAACCAAATCAATATACAATCCTCGTAACATTGAGCCCACTTCACACCCCTCAATCCAAATACAAACAAACCTCCTTAAGATCCAAAAAATTCTGCAATTTTTAAATTCAAGTTTGACCTTTCATGTACAATCCTTCCAGAAAGGAATTATGGGACGGGGAAGTGAAATTTTGCAAGTAATTTTTTACCATCAGATGAATCTAGGCTAATTTGAGATTTTTATGTGCTTTATGGGTGTATACATCCAAAACTGTTCTATTTTATTACATAGATATACTAGCGGGCCACCCCGTGAGATGCACGGGATTATAATTCTTATCTTTTTTTATTTTATTTTATTTTTTTTTCACTCTATCAATTGAAAAGTTAGATAAATAATTATAGAAAATACTTTAGCCGACAAAAATATATTTTTAAATAAATTTAATTAATTAATGGTTAGTTATGGAGACGTTGAAGGGTGGTTACAAATGACACATGGTAGAAGTTGATTGGAGATCTTAGATTTTGAATTAAAAAATTCCAAATTTTAAAAATTTAGAAAATTAGGAGGAAAGGCATCTCAACTCTCCGGTCCTCTAAATTGTTTGTGTTATAATGTTATATATATATATAGATAGATATACAGTTTCCCTTTATGTGAGTTTCATTTTTAGGCTCAAAACCATCCCATCCATGCCAAGGTTTAACAATAGGGTAGGCTACGTTGGTAGATCATAAGTTCCACCCACACCAATATAGGTATCCTACAATTACAAATAAAAAAACATCTAGTTTTCCCGTTCTCTTCCAACTCAAGTGGCGCACGGTGTCAACCAATATAGGTAGACAACTTAAATGTTTACATAAGGCCCCCAAAAAAAAGGCACCAAATAATGTTATGGTCCTTGGGAAGTAATGTTATATATGACCCAAAAATTTAGTCTATATAAGTCCAATTAAATATATATCTTAAAAAAAGTTCAACCATCTTTCTCCTTTTAATCAATATTTTACTGTTTTTAACTTTTAGAAATCCTTTCAATGGTCACCTCAAAAGTCAACCTATTTTTAGCTTTTAGCAAACTTTGTAAAAAACTCTCTCTCACTCTCTCATACCAATTAAAAAAACCATACTTAGCCATCTCTCTCCGCCGAAAGAAATTTTTCAAAATTAAAATTTATAAAATCTTCCTTACGATCAACTGTGTCACAAGACCTAGGAAGCACGAATACTTCCCATGGGGTGCCGTGGCATTATCGGACACATGTCCGACACGGATACGACCAAGACATGTGTCTAACACGGCTAGAAATGTCTTGAATAGTGAACTCAATCGGATACAGCTAGGACACATCTAGGACACGACAAGGATATGTCTAAAACACGTCCAGGATATGGCCAAGAATTTTTTTATTAGAAAAACAACTTTTAACTATTAAAAATTTATTTTTTTTAATATATTTTTTGTTAGGTAACTTATATACTCTGAATGTTAATAGATAAAATGATATTTGATAAAAATAGTGGATATTTAATTTTATCTATTTCAACTTTAATCAAAAAAATAATGCTTGCTAATCCTTATTATTAATATTGCTATAATATATGTTTTATTTTTTATATATTACAACTCTATTAATATTTTAAAAAATATATTATATTATTTTAATAGTCGTATCCTTCCTTACCGTACCCGTGGTCCATATTTTTTATCTTTGTCGTATCTCCGTGTCCAAGTCATATTGGATACGACAACCGTGTCAGTATCCGTACTTCCTAGCACAAGACATATTAGCGAAACTTAAATGTTAAACTTTGATCGCTATCTCAAAAAGCAAGAGGAATGATTTTTAAGTAAAATAATAATCATATAATATATATTTATAATAAATTTTAAAAAGGCCCCATTCCAAGCTTCGGCATAGAGCCCCTATTTACATCGAACCGGCCATGATGGGGGCACAAATAAGTCGCAGAGATTCGTAAACAACAATAAAATCAAACGATATCTTGTTACAAACGAAATCAAACTTAGAAAAAAAAAAGGTGGGGGGGGAGCAACTAAATTACCAATCGGAATTTAGTGAAACTCATACTATCTCAAAAAAAAAAATTTGGAGCTCCAACAGCCAATTCATCAAGAACTACATACATATTCCATGCAATGTAACCAAGCTCAATTCAGAAAACAAAAACATGAAAAGACAAACATACGAGCATATGGTTGTGTATTGTGTGTGAGTATTTGTGTGTGTGTAGAGAGAGGGAAAGAGAGTCTAACCTGGACGCTTGGGGGAAGAAAGATTGGGTCGATCAGAGTAAAAGCGAAGCGAATTGAGGTGAAATTTGGAGGTTCGATGAATGAACCCTAGATAGAGGAAAGAATAGAGTCTTCTCATTCTGTCGAGTCGTTATTCAGATCATTCATTTCGGACTGAAACGGAGCTTCGAGACTCGGTAGGTGCCTACGTCGGTTGTATGTTTCGTACCGCCAATTCTGAATCTGAAAACGCAATACGAAAAAAAGTGTAGAGAAAAGCTTGGAGTGGTAACGTGGCTGCTGATGGGACCATCCACTTGTCAGAAAAACTGAGTTCGTTTAATGGGCCAGTTAGGTTTGGGTGACAATTTACTCATTTTTTTTATATTTTTGGTATTTCTGTGGAAGCGCGAGTAACTTAAAAAGTACTTTAATTAATTCTCTTGTCGATTTGATCAAATGATCATTATTTATGTCGATATTAGAAAATACATGAGAGATAAATCTCTTCTCGTCTAACGTTGTCTCAATAGAAATATCAAATTTTAAATTCATGATATTTAAATTTATAGTTTATTCGTATGTCTTCTACGGACTATCCTTTGAGTTAACATTTTATTCAATTTAGACATTTTATAACCAAATATGTCGAACAATTATAAATATTAAATGTTTATTTTACAATATATTTGGACAATTTTGACCCAAAATATACCGAACTTGTAGTTTGAAATAATGTGAAATAAATTCTAATAAATTTGAGAGACTCAATGTTACAGAAAGTAAATTTGAGACATAGTCCAAAAAGTTCAATGTAAATTTTACTTATTTTTTTTATACATGGTTACTGTGTATTTTTATTTTGAGCCGACTAATGTTAGATGGACCAAAAAAAATAAGATTAATAATAGAGAATAAATGATGTAACAATGTAATAATAATGTTTTTACTATGTAGTCCCACTTTTATTTGTGTAATGCTAACAATGTACCATGTGGATTGCACATACAAAAATTTATGTAGCAAAAAATGTGACAAAATTTATAAAAAAATATTATGTATGTGTATATATATATATATATGGATAAAATCTAATATTTTCTAAATGCATATTTATTTATTGCAAATTATGAATATAAAATTAAGAGAAAAGCAGCATGAGCTAAGTTAAACAAAAAATCGATTCGCTAAATAGAGAATTCCTACTTGATACGAAATAGAACAAGAACTTCACTTATATTGAAATATTCCATTTGATGAATTCCTCGTTGCATTGATGCTCGAGGACGATCTGTGAAATTCAAAGTAGAACACTTGTTTTGTAGAAAATTGGTCTACCAAGTTAAGGCTTGTGTGACAGATTTAAAACCGATCGTTTGGCCAAAACAGTAAGTCTCTTATTTATGTTTAGACACTCATTTTTTATGCAAATCGATTTTAATTCAATTCCTAGGTGTTCCAAACATTAGTATGTGCCCTTCAACGTGATCCAACTAAGTAATTCAAGTATGATGTCAATATACTGACAAGACTCGACCAATCTAGCTATATGTCCATTTTTAAAAAATTCAAGTCTAAGAGAATAATGATACATGAATGAATTAGTACATAGTAAACACGTGTCAAAAAATACGTACAATGAAGGATATGCAACAAACGATGTATAGTGGTTTGACTAACGAACCCCTTTAGCCTCCTTCCAAGTTTCCACCCCCTAGGAGGAAGTCAATTCTCTAAATAGAACTTTAAGCAAACCACAACACACTTGTGGATGACAAAAAATTATGACTAAATAAGATATGCTTACAATAAAATGTGATCATTAAATATTTTAGAGCATATCTAACTTTGTCATCGATAATTTAAACTTGATGGACGAAAGTGATGGGTTTGGCCTAGACCAGACCCAGTCCAAAATTACAAACCCAATTTAGAAAATACATATTAGGCTTAGATCATAGGTGCAGTTGTGCCCAAATCAAAATTACAAGCCAATAAGAACCAAGCTGGAAAACTTAGTCTACTAGTGACGCACATGAGATCTACATCTTAGGAAAGAAAATAGAATACACATTGCAAGCCTTAACCATCTCGTTCGTTATGCCAACATCACGGAGCCACCCACTCCCATCACAAAGGATGACACCTTAATTAGGGCTTCTCGCGATGACACCTCCATCAAAACCCGATCTGGGGCGCTATGAAGACTGTATTTCCCTATAAATCGTAAACCCCACCCACACATAAAGGACAACATACACATTTCAACACACTAACACTCTTGAGTAATAAAATTTTCTAGCCAACGTCGTCATTCCCAACAGAGTAGGTCATCCAAACAAAACTATCTAATCTCTGTGTTTGCTTGTGTTGAGTTTTTTTTTACTTCATTCATTAATTGATTTTATATTGATGGTGTAGACTAACAGGGTGAACAGAGAGCGTGGGACAAAAGGTGAATCTAGGCTGCCAACTTCATAGTGACAGTTATGAAGTGTTTCTTAGAGGGTAGGAGAATTTAAACAATAGGAATATAGTAGTTCACCGACACTGAATATAGTAATCCACTCTCTAATAGAGACTCTTCCTCCTCTTTTTCTCTATTGATTACTCGAATGTATTACAGTACAATGCATGATCTAATTAGGGTTTTTTTCCTAGGGTCCTCTCTCTTCGATGAGTCGTTACATAGTATTTATAAGGCTGCTTTCTATTCTGTGGGATCTCAGCCGAGATCTTTGCCCATTATTCATGGGATTCTCCTTGATTTTAGGAAAGAATCTTGGTTGGTTGAGAGTTTTATGCATTGAGCTCAATTTTCGCAGTCATCCAATTGTTTCCTAGTCGGTTCTGCTACGATCTCCCCAAGGGGAGCTCTACCCCGATTCTCTGAGTTCTCCGTGTCTTTCCTAACCTGACCTCCTTTCTTGAGCTCATAGGTAGGACTTTTTGAGGTATCATCAGTTGCCCCCAGCCCCTGGTTCAAACAGGCTTGGGCAAGGGTTGAGCTATTTTTTAAATCGAGTTAGATCTGCACGTGACTGACCTTGGTTTGCACATGAGTGAGGTCTTTTTGACAGTTTTAGCAATCATGGCTTTCTCGTTTCCTGCACACGTTCCAACCCACGTCTCTCAGGCTTTAAATGCTTAAACGGTTATCTGAACTGCCCTTTTCCACCGTTCAACTTCTCTGCTGCTTCTTTCTTCTTGTACTTTCCTGGCTTTCTAGTTTCGAGTTCTTTGACTCCTCGTTCAAGATCAAGTTTTGTGGGTTCGATTTGAAGATTCGTATTGCCCCCTTTCTTCCATTTCGCTCTAAGTTGTTGTTCGTTGCTCTTTCGTAACTAGGTATGCCCTTTTGTCCCTTTTTCACCTTTTTTCATTCTAGATCCCTTGAATTCGAGGTGGCCATTGCATTTTTGGGCTTTTCGATTCTTTTACTTTTGGAATCGAAACTACTGTTTGTCTCCTCTTCCCCACTTCGTGGACTGGTCTTCTATCATACGAATCCTTGCTATTGGAAACTACTGTGTTGACCCTAGGATTATTAGGGAGTGCTTAATTAGTATTCCTCCTCTCTACCGTTCTTTCAATTTACCTTTCTCTTATCCAGTTATGTCTACTCCTTCTAGAGCTACTCGCTCATCTACTTCTCTCTTGGGGGAAAGGTCTGCCAAAGAGGACACTGATTTAGGAGATGTGGGCGAGAAAATCGACAATGTCCCCGATGTAGACGTTGTCGATGCCGAGGAGAATACTGAGGAACCACCCCCATCATCTTTTTTTGTGCCCCCTAATCCTAACAAAGGTAAGGGCAAGATGAGTGAGGTAGGAGTCTCTGACAGCGCAGCAGGCACAGGGGCTGCCTTTAGGCATGCTGAGCTCATAGGACCCAGTGAGGTTGACTCTACTCTTATGAAAATTCTCAGTGCTCATTACAATTTTCCTCCTGGGGTTCAGATAAATAAACCTCATATGTTACCCAAGTTCATAAGAAAGTTTGTTTCTTTGTAGCCATTTTTGAGAAAGGCCTTCGTTTCTCTATGCATCCCTTCATCAAGAGTGTTTTGCAACACTTCAACGTCGGTTTCCCTAGCCTTCGTTTCTCTAATTTCTGGGGTGTACTGGTGGGCCTTCTAGTTTTATTTAAGAAACATGAGCTCGGGGTCCCTAGCCTTTCCTGGCTTGTAGATTTTTTAATGTCAAGCTCACCTCATGAGAGGGTTTCTTATATATCTCCAAGCGAACCACGTCTAGGCAGATCATTACTCACCTCCCGAGCTCCCATAAGGGTTGGAAGAAACAATTCTTTTTCGTTGGAGGCACCAACTGGGAGTACAACCATGCTAACAAAACTGATACTCTGGGTATCCCTAGAACTTGGTCCGCCCTTGGTAACTTAGGTGAGTCCTTGCTTGAACTGATTGAGCTTTGTTTTGGGAATTATCGAGTTGTCTTTTTAACCTTTGTTCTCCTTGTGTTGTTTTTCAGGCATTCGACCTGAGCTCAGTGCTAAGAACAAAAGGGTGAAGCGAAAATTTGAGAAGTGTAGTCCATAGAAGTACTCCGAGCTTATTAAGCCCTTGGTCTTAGTAACACAGAGATTTAGTCCTCTTGAGGTATCGATATAAGCTCCACTCCCCATCTCAGTTGTTAGACCTGAAGACATAACAGATAACACTTTCTGAGTTTGTTCTCTTGTCTTCCCTTCTTTTTTCTCTCTCCTGTTTAACTTACTTGGTTCAGATCTCCCAGGCTCCTCCATAATGAAATCTACCCGTGAGGAACTCTAGGCTAAGGTTGACCTATTGAAGAAAAGTAAGAAAAGTGGCAAATGGAAGACTGAGACCAGTTCTAGAGGCAGCCTCGTTGGCAGTGCTAAAGTGCATAAACTGGGAGTGCCCTCTTCTCCTACCTTGAGCAAAGGAGGACAAACTCCTTCATCTCAATCCCTGGCCCCTTCTCCTTGTCAAGGGGCCCAATGTGCCCCCAAAAAGGCTTCTAAGCCAAGGCTGGCTTCCTCCACCTCTTCTGAGATTGAGGGAGCCTTAGGGATGATTACTGGAATTCAGTCAGACTCTGCATCCCCTGGACCACGTGAGCAACCATCCCAACTACCTCTCTGGAGTCCCAAAGTCGAAAAGAGGGAGGACCAGGATACTGATGAAGACTCTTTCTTCGACAACGCTGAGTTGGCTGCTGGAGTCATTTCATCCAT